TAATAACTTGATTATACCTAATTGTTGTGAAAATTAAAAATTCATAGATGTAAAGCACTTAGAACATTGCCTGGAACATAGTGAGTACTATGTGTATTTGCAATTACTATTACAGTGGTCCACAATCCCTCAGACCTCATGCTAAATACCAAGAAGCTCCAAAAACCAAAATTTCTTCTGTAACTCATTTGGCAGCAAAACCTGAGCTGAACAAATGCAAGGCTATTTATAGTCTTTATTTATCCCACCCAGTGTGAATATATATGCATTTTGCTACAAATATTTTCATGTGTTGGATTATAGGGTACTGCCCCAGACTTCACTGGGGTGTATTTATTAACTTCCTAAAACCTGAAAAATTCTAAATTGCAAAACACATCCAGCCCCACATGTTTTGGATAAGATTATGGGCCTACATTACCTTTGGAGCATGAATAATTTCTATTTCCTTAAAATGAATGGCATCTTCTTAAATAACTACAAGCAAGTAGGACCCTGAACCTAGCACTAGAGGATTTTAAGATGAAGAAAACATTTCCCAGTACAGTAAGGGGGATCCTGCATTCCCAGAACGTTCCTTTCAAATAAAACCCATTCTTAATCATTTATGTACATGTCATAGTAGTCAGATTTTTCGAACTCTAAATTCTACGGCTTGCTTAAACAAAGCATATTCTCTTAGATCACAAATAAATGATTAAGGCTCTTTGCGTGGCATTAATGTGTCCAAAATCATGCATACCAAATCATTACAGAACTGGAAGAGATCCTTGAGAACTAATCCAAACTATTATCCCTTTCCTTCCAAACTGTTTAACATCCATAAATGTATTCTCCTCTATGAGGTAAGAATAACCTGCTCTAACTTGTCCTTAGACTCTGTCTATAGGAACACCCTGTAGGTGAATATGAATAAACTGGGTGGGGTACACCAGCAGAACTGGGATATAAAAGGATGACTTGAACCTAGCATAATCTTACATGTTTGGCAAATGCCTCAGCTTATACTTTAAAAAATAACAAGAATTTATAAGTCCAGAATGAAGGAAGACTCATCTAGCACATGTTAAAAACAAAACAACAACACTTAACTATCTTTTTTTTTTTTTTTAATATATCTTTATTGATTTCAGAGAGAGGAAAGGAGAGGGAGACAGACAGAAACATCAATGATGAGAGTCATTGATCAGCTGCAGTCCACAACCCAGGCATGTGCCCTGACCGGGAATAGAACACCGATCGCCTGGATCCTAGGTCGACGCTCAACCACTGAGCCACACCCGGCTGGGCAACACTTAACTATCTTAATGAACTCAGTGAGTCAACAACATAATGTGGCTGTGAAAAAAGCTACTCCGATTAGGAATAACTCCATCGACAAGTAGTGCAGCGTCCAGAAAGAACGTGGAAACTGCCCTTTCTGTTACAACTAGTTAGAGCACATCTGGAGTATTATGTTCAGCTCTGTGTTCCACACTTTGGGGGGAGAGACAGACAGGTTTTAAAAGTCCAGAAGAGGGGTGACCAGGATAGCGAGGGAATTTGAAACCATGTCACATAAAGAACAGTTGAGGGAGCTAAAGGTATTCAGTCCAGACTCAGAAGGAACATGATCACTGTCCCCAAATCCCTGAAGAACTGTCATGGCACAGAGAGAGAGCAGCCTTATTCTGTGTGGCCCCAAAGGGCAGAACCAGAACCAGTCTGTGTTAACTACAGGGAGAAATATTTCTGCTAAGTCTATGAAGTATTTCAGCCATGTTAGGAGGTAGTGGTAATGTTCTATCTGGCCCTAAGGTTCCTTTTTTTTTTCTCCTGTAGTCCTCCATTCAATCTTGGCTGCCACAATCTGACTGACAGAAAGCATGAGAACCCTTTTTTCTTGCATCTGCACTAGAACCTTAGCAGCAGGCAGTAACTGTTCCAGGTCTGTCAAATAGATGCATTAAAGGCCCATAACTTTACAAATCAAACATTTGTCATCACCTAGATCTCTTACTGCTGATATAACTATTATTCTCTAGTATTACAACCTCTTCCTTCTTAAAATGTCCTACCCAACCAACCAATCAGCCAAATGTTTTCCCTGGTCTGTGGGAGGAAAGAGTCTGCTTGCTGGGCAATTAGTTTCAGTTTGCGATCAGTGTTCCTGTAAATAAAACCGGGCCCTAATTGAGGGGCAGGCAAGAGCTCTCAACTAGACCTCTATGAAAGAAATTTTTATTAATTCAAAGAGCAGCTAGAAGACCCATCCCATCACATAATATACTGTCAAAGGCACTCAGTCCTTAGAGGAACATTAAAATAAAACACCCTGTACAATCATCTTCCCAAATGCCAGAAAATCCAATTTTGTGAGCCAAACTAGGTCTCTCAAATTCAGGTAGACGTTTTCCTTGTGTCAGGGAGATTATTTACTATTTGAAGTAAACTAGAACCCATGCTTAGATAAAAAGGCTGTGCCTGATTATATCACTGTAAAGCTAAAACTACCTGTTAATGTGCCCAGTCAGTTCGGCTGCTAAGAACTAGATACAGGCAATCCATGGTGAATTCAGAGAAAATTTTAAACACAGGGTTATCAAAGTTGGGGATCCTCCTAAAACTTTTGTGACCCAAAGACCACCACAGACATAGGTATATGTTAGCCCATGAAAACCCTTGAACAGTTCAGATGACAAATACAATCAATCCTGCTTTATTTCATCTCAAATTGATTTGGAGTCTATAAAATTCCAAAGTATTAGAGAATATAATATATACATGATGGACTCAACAAGAATACAGTCTCCTCTGTACTTTTTAAAGTGAAGCCCAGAAGCAACCTAAGTGTCCACAATAAGAAACTGATTAAATTATGATATATTCCTACAATGAAAAATGCAACTGTTAAAAAAAATAATAAGGTAGACTTAGATCCTAACATGGGGAGGGGAAAAAAAGCCCCATGATACATAGTTAAGTGAATATAGATAGTAAATTTCCAAACAATATAGATATAATTATTTTGAGTTTTTAAAAACTACTTTTAAAAACCTTGTGTGTGAGTTCATATAGGCCCAGAAAAAATGACTGAAAAGAAATCAAACTGTTAACAGCAGTAACCTCTAGGGACTAAATGGAACCTGGAGGCAGTAAAGGAGTGACTTTCGCTCTTCCTTTGAGGACTTCTGGCTGCTTGTAATTTTTTTTTGCAAGTAATGGTTACTTTGTGATTTAAAAATAACAAAACAAAAATAATAAAAGTAAAATAACATCAATTACACAGACTTATTTATCATATACTAACCATTCAAAGTAAGTGATCTTGCTTCTTGCTTCAAATTCCAGAAAACCTAACTCATCCTTTTTCTATTGTACTTTACTAAAACAAATAAAAATCACAAGTCCCTACTGGGTTCCTCAAATGCTTTCTATCCCACCAAAAAAAAAAAGGG